ACACTTTGTAGTGCCCGTGGTGGCACAAGCTGGTGACGTCAGGCTGCGCCGCGCTGCACTGCGGGACACAAAGACATACCCACTTTATTTAGTAGAAATGCAGCCATACTGCATTGCATTTTTCGCCCACCGCCGCTTGCAGCAGTTTTGTTTTCAAAAAATAACCTCAGTACAGAATACTAAAAAAACCGACCTCAAATCCACGTAGGATTTACATATAATTACCAAGTTTTATGGAAATTAGTTACCGGAAAGCGCGCAAACTCGGATTTATACCCTAGTTCGCCACTATAGGGAACTTGACACAGGAGATAATAAAAATCGGTTCTCACTACTCAAAGTATATTGAGAGAAAAACGCCTTGAATTGGAGAATGTTATAATAAAATTTAGGCGCTATTTATAAAAATGAAAATTCATGCGTCAGCCATCGTCAAGCCATCCTTAGAGGTGGATGATGTTCTTCAAAATTAAATGGGACCACTATGGAGGTACCTTCTTTCAAGTAAAAAAGAATTATGAAAATATGTTCACAAACACCGGAGTTATCGCGTAACATACATACAAAAAAAAAACATACAGTCGAATTGAGAACCTCCTCCTTTTTTTAAAGTCGGTTACAAATAAAAAACAAAGAAAATAAAACCACCACTGATCCAGAAAATATCGCAAATATTTGCTCTCGTGACGACGAACCCATGCTTCAACCAGAAAATAGTACGTACTCCAACTTCAATTAAACTACTTGTTCTCGCTATTTAGATTTTGACGCTTTTTAATGTTAACAATTTATAGATAATAGATGGCGCTACGACTAAAAAGTCGTTGAAAGACCAAGTACAAAGACACGACGCAAGCACATAGAAAAATTCGTGAGGTCCGTTGGTTCGTTCCGTGGCTTAGTTGGTATAGCGTCTGGCACGGTATTCAAGAAGACGTCGGTTCGAATCCGACCGGATCGAAGGAATTTTTCTGAGTGTTTTTTCTGAGTGTTCGATCTTTGTATTAATAATTATAACAAACTAGTGGAGTAATTTCACAAAAAATAATTGAATATCAATTCAATAAAAATTTAGTTAACAATTTATTTAATATATTTTAATGTTTATTTACTTAAGTATACCGTGTACTATACCGTGTACTTCTTATTGTTGGAATTTCCATCAGTTAAAAACAAATTAGTCGTATTGGTCGTAATCACTTTTTTTTATTATTAACCTAAGTGTTTATTTACGTATTGTATAAAACAAATTGAATAAATAATACATAAAAGCATTGACTTACAAATAAATGGACGACGGGTCTAATACAAAAACCACGAAAAAAATGTCCCAAGTCAACCTATTTAAACGTAGTGACATGTAAAGGAATATGAAAAAGCTAAAACGTTGAATTTAAATTGTAATGTCATCGCAGTACTGTCTAATTTTGCTTGCTTCGCTGTCAGTCGAACAAACGAAGACTAAAGCGGGAATGACGCTCTGTATACGATTTTAACGCCCTATAAATTCGGACACTTTTTAGCGCGGACCCGACGTCCATATAATTGTAAGTCAATGCCTTTGGAAGTGAAATCAAAAAAAGAATCTTCGAAACCGGTTCACACATGTCGGAGTAATTGCGTAACTTACACACAAAAAAAATACATTCGAATTGAAAAACTCCTACTTTTTAAAGTCGATTAAAAATGTGTGTTTTTTTATTTAAGAAACCGAAACTCAAAGTTTAAATTATTAACTGCAATATAAAAAAATAATTATTCTTACATATGAAATCTTAGGAATAGTACAAAACAGAATAAAAACAACTAAAAAAGAAATAAACAAAACCACTTCTTATTTTATTAGCAGATGACGCTAGTCAGAACTTTGGCATCGCATTGAAAACGCATAAAATGCCTAATTGTGCCATTAGAAACTACAAAAACACAGCCATGAGAAGATCAGTAAACAAAGACGTTTTCTTCCACGGTTAAGCGATTTTGTAATCAGAATATGCATAATTTATTTTAAAATCAATTTATGCATCTTCATTTTGAATTAATTTGTTGAGGACAATTGGGATTATTTCAGTGGAGGTTAGGGTCGAACCACAAAACTGCGATGCGACGTCGCACGACGCATCGCAAGAATTTGCGAATTGCGAATCGCGCATTCCTGCGATGTTAATCTTTGTGTTTTACCTATATATGCTTTATAATAAAAACGATGCAACACTCTTTTTAAGATCCCAGTAGCTACCTAGTGCAAGTCGTGGCTGTTAGTAAGCATGTAGCTTGTCCAGAACAGTTGAGCTGAGCTTCAAATCGCAAAGATCTGAGGAACGATACTCATATTACTGCTTGGTGGCAGAAATAGGTAAGGCAAGGTGGCAGTACTTCCCTGGACGAACTCTTTCACAAGGAGCTCTACAGCTCCTGCATTGTTAGGAGACTCTTTCTTCCCACTGGCCACTGCTATGTAAAGCGTCATCAAAGCGCGGACCGTACCATTTGCTCGTCGTTTCTCGTAAGGAGTTGGTGGTTAGGTTACAAAGTACATTTTGGTAATTAATTATGACTGAGTTGAGATGGAATTCTGTAAAGAAGGATGGCGACATCCCGTGTTTTGATCCAGTGTTTTTGACGACTTGTATTAAGGAGAACTATCAATACTTGTGATTCATTATCAAAGCATCCAAACAGCTAATTGAGTTGAGACTGTAGAAGCTGGGGTTATAAATTTGATATTTATAACATTGTCCTTTATTTCGCTTCAGGTGTATGTTCGTAATAGCAGAAAGCAACAAGTTTTCAGTTTGTTTCCAAAAAATAATAAAGAACTTCCCGAATATTCCTAAATCTGCCAACCTCAGCTACATTTAATGTAACTTATCATGTTCTGCAGCAATGAAAGTGAATAAAAATTAAATTTGCCCAAATGGCAGAAATCTGCCACAAATGGTCACACTGTTCTCGATATCAATGTGACTGATTCGCTCTGGACCTTTTGGAGGGAAAAGTGTCGTTTTTATTTTGACTTTCAATTATTTTGTAAAATCTAGTTTAAAGTGGAATAGGATAGTGCTATTGTGCCTTAATCGAAGATTAAAACGCGAAATTATACGAATCTCGAACTAAAATACCCGTATCGGCCCGTTTTAAGGAATCCCGAGTCAATCCAAGCACGCTGCCTCAAATTGCCTATCCTCTTTGTGGCGGCCATATTTACAGAAACATAATTAAACTTCATGTTTAGGCTGATGGCTTTGCCAAAGCCTTAATAAATTTAAAAAAATCAATGTGACATTGACATTGGCAAGAGGTTTCTTGTCAAAACGTTCCTTTGCAACTTTCATTATCTCTCATTTATATATTGTATAAATATTTTTGTCACATTGTGTTTTATTTATTGCTATTACTGTTTAATTAATTATTTCATTAGGTATTTATTATAAAGCTTTAATGAAATAATTTATGTGTGTACTATAAAATAACCAATACTTTAGGTAGTTATACATTCAATCATGCTTAAAAAAACGCACGTATAAGAACGTTACTTAATCTATGGTCGAATAGAATCAATTGCGTTATGTTCTTGCAACTATTATAAAATACATTGTTTTGCAATTTCTTTATTCCTGACTTCTACAAATGTACAAAAATAATATAATGATAACTAGGCGTAAACTAATTATACTAGCGAAGACCAGCTTTCGCCGTTCTTCTTTAGTTTTTAAATTTTCAGATTTATGTGTTACATATTATGAGCTCATTCTTATACAAAATTAAATATAATAAGTGTAAGCCTTTAGAATATTCAGTTATTTTGAGTTATTTCTTGTGATCATCAGTGATTTTTTTTGACACGATTGATTGCCCCTAAAATCTGGCCGCCCTAGGCCCAGGCCTACTGGGCCTCAGGGCAAATCTGCCACTAATTATGACTGTGTTGAAACGTAATTGTGTAAATTTGTGTTTTTTTTTGTTAAATTTATGACTGAATTGTTAGCGCATAAAGTTGATTTTTAAAGTTGATTAAGGAGCAATTATTTTAATGGTGGGTTTTGCTATTCTCCAATTCAAGTCAAAATTATTTTTCTGTGAGACGTTTAGTTTTTGTGGGGATGCCAAAAATAACGGATTCAGATTTGAAGATAATGCAAATATTTCATCCATTGCAATGTACAGGTTGATAAAGAATTACTGTCCTTTTTTTCCTTTGCATAACATTCAGTAATTTTTAAAAAACATTAGTGAAATAAAACGATAAAATTCCATTTATTTTTGAGGTTAATATTTCCCAATGATTTCTAACGCGTAACCACGCTAAGGTCGCGATCGGCGCCGAATATCTAGACGTCACGTCGTGCCGCGTGACGACAGACCTGAGCCAACGCATCGCGCGTTAGCTCCGTACTTTGTTGCCTCACACATACATAAACTCACGCGCTGACTCCTCCCACTGCCCCCACACCATTGTTGTTGCTATAGCAATCAAAAATCTGTCAAAAAAAGTGTCAATATTGTTTTTTTTTTAGTTTATTAAGGCTTTGGCAAAGCCGTCAGCCTAAACATGAAGTTTAATTGTTTCTGTAAATATGGCCGCCACAAAGAGGATAGGCAATTTGAGGCGGCGTGCTTGGATTGACTCGGGATTCCTTAAAACGGGCCGATACGGGTATTTAAGTTCGAGATTCGTATAATTTCGCGTTTTAATCTTCGATTAAGGTAGAATAGCACTATCCTATTCCACTTTAAACTAGATTTCACAAAATAATTGAAAGTCAAAATTAAAACGACATTTTTCCCTTCAAAATGCCCAGAGCGAATCTGTCAATATTGTTCACAATTTTTCGGAAAACTTTGAGACGTCACAACTTATTTATTTAAAAAAAAACCGAATATGTATTTTTTATTTCCATTATACAGTATGCTCCTTTAAATGGCCAATGGTTTTTTAAAAGGATTTACGCTTATAGGGTATAGTCATAGCATAAAAAAATTTTAAAAATTAAACAATTTTATTCCTTCCGATACAAAAGTCCATAGGTAAACATTTTTTGGATTTCATCAACTGATCTGCCTCTTGTTTCTCTCATAAGAAAATATGAACTTACAGTTAATAAAATACACACGAAGGAGAATACTGAGAATAATCCATCGAGTCCTAAGCGTTCTACTGCAAGTGGAAATAATGCTATAACAATGAAGTTGGCTAGACACAATACAGAGTTGACAACAGTAGAAGCGAGGTTCTTGAGCTGAAAAGAAAGAAAGTAATTAGAGGTCTCCATGAATGAAGAAAAACTTTCATAGATTTCTCGCAGATGGCGCTGCGGCAACAAAGTCAATAAAAACCAAAACAAAGATCTACAACAAAGACATCGAAAAAGTCGTGACGTCCGTTGGTTCGTTCCGTGGCTTATGCTCTGGCCACACTGAAACGCACGGCGGCCGGGCGGCGGCGGTGCGGGGCCGAACGCCATAACAAACAGACAGAGCGGGCGCTAGTCGGGCCCGCGGCGGATGCGGGCGCGGGTGTTGTAACACATTGCGTTCCATGCAATCATACACACAGAGCGTCAGTGGCGGGGAGCGGGACATTAGCGGGGGTTCAGCGGATTAGTAACAATAAAAAGTCGCGCATCGCTAATCTACGGACGGTTTGATTGCAATACCCGTAGTTAAGGGGTGAAGGATAACATATCGAAATAAAAGCACCACGTCACAGAAGGTTCACAACCCTTGGAAACGCGTGAAGTCCAGAGTGGTGGAGTATGTCCTAAACCCTCCTCTTAGAAGGAAATTGTGCCCAGCAGTGGGACTTACAATGGTTTGACGATGACGATGATGATAATTGATCTATACATAGAACTAGAATTGTTGTATTTTATACAACAAAGCATTAAAATTTCCAAGTATTTGATCGTGAATAGCATGATGAGAAAGATGGTGGTGATATCTGTGTATGGTGATATGCGTCTTTATCAGAAAATGTTAATAAAACTCCAGGGCTTGTGATTTTTTTACTAGGATTTATGTGACAAATTACTAACCTCGTTTTCGATAAACTCGTGTCTATTAATGGAACGTAAATTAGAGAACGTAGGTTCTATCATTTCACAGAATATCATGCATATAGATGATAAATTTATCGATTTAAGTACCTCATGAGCAAAGCATTCAGAGATCTGGAGAAAAGGCACAGACGCAGCACCTAATTGGAAGACGCAACTATAACCCAGAACCATTGCGGGTATAGTCCATTCAGGAGCCCAGGACCAACGAAGGAGTGATGCCAGGAGAGCGAGAAATATCCCAGATAATACCGTCGATGATATCATTAGAACCTGAAATGTGTAAGACAATCGCATCAATAAAACTGACACGATCAACAATCTCGCCAATCGTCATGTTGTTGGAGTTATAAAGAAACAATATATCCTCTAATAACAATGAGTAGGTAATTTCGCTACCATCTGGTCCAAAAGCAAGTTTTCAAGCCAGATTAACAGTTATAATATGTTAGACGTAAAATTGTTTTAGCTTCATCCAGGACTGTACAGGAGAGTGAGCTACCTATCACATTGCGCTAAATGCAGGAGGTTAATAGGTGTCGGTAAGTTAATAAAGAGATGAAATACTGTGCTTGTAACTGAATGATACATGTAACAAAAGTACAATCAAAAGCATATCTAGCTTGACACATAGGATTTTGACTGTTAGGTTGACGATAGGTACAAAGTTGAATTTAAATCTTAAGTGCCAAGCCTGACGTGCTTTGAACCCTGTACTCACCCGTCTGCCAACCAAATCGCAAATCACTAAGGACAAAACGCTGCTCACAAAGAAGGTCGTGGACAATATTACAGCGCAAAGTTCTTTAGAAAGGTTTGGCGCTGCGGCTTCAAACAACTGACTAGCATAAGTTGTCATTACGATTGTTCCACATAGTACTAGTAGTAGCATGTGGAGTGATACAATAAAAAGTGCTCGTTGTGCTGATTTTGATGAACCTGAAGGTATACAAAATATAGAAGTAAGGAACTTTATAGATGTTTGATTAATGAATTTGGTAGCTATCTTTGGGGATGAACGGCGCGTAAGATCGATTCTACGCGTGATTAATAGAAAGAGCGAGCTGTTATCGAACATATTTTCAAAAGGGGTGCTCACATGCCTGCGGTGTGAGAGAATCTTCACGCAGAAGTTTGTGTATATAAGCCACATGCAAGCACTCGAACGTCACCAACTTCGGAGTTGAAGTAGACGAGGAATAGGTCGGGAACATAGAAAGAGAAACAGAGTGATAGGTAGATTGATAGATTTTTAAAGTTCAGCCTTTAGCTTTCTAGTTAGAGGAACTTCTTTGTGCAAAATCCCGATTGAATATTTCTTTTATGCTGCAAACCAGCTCTAGCATCATGTCAGTCATTTATACATGTTACAAATAAATTATTGATATATTCCTTGATGATTTCATTCTTTTTTTAACTAATAAAAGTATTTACTTGTAGGAAATCCTCTCGCTTAAACAGCTGTTAATTTGAATTGGAAAATAATGACGGAAACTTTGCGCCGATAGAAATTAGTTAGAAACAGAGATATTGATAATTCCCTTACAAAAACTTACAAAGCATTTTCCATGTACTTATTTCACTATTAGACCCCACCTTCGTGTGGTTTAACAATTCCTTTTCAGCTCTAGGGTCTAATAAATTATCAGCGACTGAGGCTTTGTTTTCACATTCACTCTGCTGACTCAATTGTGTCATTTCTTTTAAAATCTTTGGGGTAGCTTTTGATGCTCCCCGGTAGAATTGTAACGATTTTAATGCTTCCTGAAAACGCAAGATTATTTAAATACTTTGTCAAAACTATTTTTTTATTATATGGACGTCAGGTCCGCGCTAAAAGTGTCCGAACTTACAGGGCGTTAAAATCGTATACAGAGCGTCATTCACGCTTTAGTCTTCGTTTGTTCGACTGACAGCGAAGCAAGCCAAATTAGACAGTATTGCGATGACATTACAATTTAAATTCAACCTTTTAGCTTTTTCATATCCCTTTACATGTCACTACGTTCAAATAGGTTGACTTGGGACATTTTTTTCGTGGTTTTTGTATTAGACCCGTCGTCCATTTATTTGTAAGTCAATGGTCCAAACAGTAAATTTTTATGACATCTTTACTTTAAAAATAATATAATAGGTAGTCGTGGATAAGTAGGTAGAAGTTTAAAATGTAATTGGGATATGCTTTGAGTTTGGACTGCTGGTATAAGATTCTCACGCAAAGTGCTGTTGTTTGAGAAAAGAGTGTGGCGATTTTTGTTCTCGAAAGTTACCAAATTGTACAAGAAAGTTACCAAGTTGAACCGAAGAGTTTTACAAATCTTTCTTTACCTTTTCTCGCCTATTGGCAATCAAAAATGCTGGAGTCTCCTTCAGATAAAACGAAAGCACGACGAATAATACACTCAAAGCCAAATTAATGTAATTCACCATGTCATAACTACAAAACCATCCGATCAGATATGCAAATAAGAGGCCGAAGGTATATGTTACAAGGATTATAGAACTTAAAGTTCCTCTATAAGAATCCTGGCTGATTTCTGCAACGAAAGGAAAGCAGATGACTGCTTGGATCCCTGTTACAAGTCCGAGGATCATTCTGCCTATTATAATAAGGAGTACGTTTCTGGCTGTTGTTATTAAGACCCAAGATATCTGGAAAAGAAAATTATCTTTCAGTTGTGATGGGTTAATTGTGAAAAAAATTGCCTGAAACACATGTATACACTTCATGGTCTTTTCCATCGAGACAGGCAGAGACCTCAACCTGTTACTTGCTACGATCCTGACATACCCTTTTCTCCTGATCAACATGTACCAATGACACGCTCATCGGTTAAGGGTACTTTTGACTAGGCCTTGCTTTAGAAAGGCCTCCTCTAAATAGAGGACCAAATGGTCGTGGTAAGTTCGCCTTGGTCGGTGCTTACCAACTTGCCCGCTCTTTTCCGCGAAATATCTTTCATCAATCTTCGTCCATTTATAGTTTGAAACACATTACAAGCAAAAAATATTAAGAACATAATCGCTCAAAGTGTGTGTATAAACACAGAACAGCTTACCGCTAATCCCAATGCACATAAAACACTAGTCTTCTTCTTTCCTATCCTGTCAGACACCCATGCACTGAAAGGCGTCCCGATAAAATTCCCAAGCATTAACATGGATCCAACTAAATTAGCTTCGGATTCTGAAATAGGAGACCCAGTAGGAGATTTTTCACTCTGTAGAACGTATAAGGCGTGAGATGCCCAAGCAAAACATGATCCTGTCAACATCATTCCAAGAGACACTGTAAAAATAAATTTTATTTATCTGTGTCAATATGCCTGGTCTCAAGTTTTTTCCTTCCCTGTTTTACAATTGTTCGTGTTGTACAGTTACTTTGATCTCAGAACGTGGTCGTAAAAAAAGATGTAATCCTGGCCAGCCACATTTTAGCTTTTAGGCCATTGTTTAACAACATTGACTATACGTTTACATTAGATTAAAAAATTTAAAAATAAAAATAGGATTTAAAAATTTAACGTATCCTAAGCTTGAGTTCCAGTTGAACTTATCAGGTCTGGGCAATCGGGGATAATGTCTCCAGATTTGAATTTCTTTACTCTGTTAATGGATTACTTAATTTGAGACTCGACTTTTAGGCACGCATAACCGTTTCTGACTAATGTCTAATGAATCCTCTTTAAATATTATCTTTACGTACTTATAGACGACGCCCAAATTTGAACCAATATTCCTCGCATTTTGAACAATAGAATGTAATTTATAAAAAAGAGCGTGCACAAAATTACGAGAGCAGAAGGAATGAAATATTTGCCGATATATTTTGTATATACTTATATAACAACCGAAAGGGTCGTAATTCTCAGTCATAAAGATAGCTATGTTTAGTAGCTAATTCTTGCTATTCAAGTTTACTGTCTCTAATAGATATTAGATGTTCACTAGTTTATGTCCCAGGGTTTTCGAACAGTAACGAATTTAAGCCATCCATTTTCTGGCGTTTGACTTCCAATGACCGTTAGGCGAGGTTTTTATGGTATTAAAGACCTGAGGGCACCGCCATTGTGCCCGTCACCCTGACGAATAATGTTGACAATTCTCACCTAAAGAGTCACCAGTACCCTTATCCTACTTCGAATGGACCTTCGTCCGATTTGAACTTCAGCAGTTACATAGAATCCATGGTCAAAAATGCAGCCAAGATGCTTGGCATCCTTTCCAGGTGAAGGCGTTACTTCACACGGGGACAATTGCTTCAGCTGTACTGTACCAAGCACAAATCCTAACACTTCTGGTTCTGTTAAATAGCAACTGGCCACCTTGAATTCAGTTGCAAAGCATGCCAAGAGGCTTATAGATGACTCAAAATTAGTAGAGGTGTACCAGCAGATCCTTGAACACACTTTCTCTGCTTGAACGTACTCTATTTGGAGCCGTAAAGTTACCTGCTTATCGATATTCTACAGGATATATTACGAAGAGTGTGAAATAAAACTTTTCCAACACAGATTTCCAAACTAGAATCTATTAACAGACAGACAAGTTCGTTCATATATAATTACGTTATCTAAATGATACACCTGATACATTATAGAGAGGTACAATAGTTAAAAACTTTTTTTGGCAAATATACATAATCTGTCTGTCAATATTAAATCTGCTCTTGACGTAAGTAAAATAGAGTAGACAAATAAAGTAGATTTTACTAAAAAAAAGAAGTTGGAGGATATTGTGCTTATTAATACAAAGATCGAACACTCAGAAAAAACACTCAGAAAAAATTCCTTCGATCCGGTCGGATTCGAACCGACGTCTTCTTGCATACCGTGCCAGACGCTATACCAACTAAGCCACGGAACGAACCAACGGACCTCACGAATTCTTCTATGTGCTTGCGTCGTGTCTTTGTACTTGGTCTTTCAACGACTTTTTAGTCGTAGCGCCATCTATGAGTAATCTATGACAGATTTATCACCCAGTTAATACCTTTGCAGCTACCAGTCCTGGCGAGAGATGTCGCTATGTTAACTTGTTTTCATCGTGATCATTTTATTAGTTTTAAGTTCTCTTCTTAGGGAGAATCGTTGGCATCGATATACGATGTGACTCTATCTTTTTCATCAACAATACTTACTAAGTATTTGTAGTTAAAATCAGAGTAGTTCTTAGCCAGTAGCATGTAGAGCTATTTGTGAGTTTATTATTATTATTATTTCTTTGTTAAAAAATACCATGTAAAAATATTTTTTATCAGCAGCAGCAGCTAACAGCCATGTAGGTACATCTTCTAGAAACGTCACAAATACGAAACCCTTAGACGAAGATTCAAAATCCTGTGCTTGTACGGATTTGTTGACACCACGACTAGAGCCTAATCGATTTCTTTTGATACATCGAATTATTATCTTTATATCCTGCAACATTTGGTTTATTTCTGCCGATACAAGATCCATTCAAGATTTTTTTAAATAAAATATATTAAATATAATAAGTAATTATTAAAAATTACTCCAATAATTTCTTATGATTAATCACAGTTATTACAAGAAAAGTGTCATTATTTATATTTTGATTATTTCAACCTTCAGAGAAAAAAAAATTACAAAAGAATCTTTTGTTTCGGTATAATTAATTGCAAAATTCGAAATGAAACTTATTGAAATGTTGTTAGTTGTTATTTTTAATTGTTTTTGTAATTTTTTTTAACGCTTGAAAGTTTCTAATTATCGCAGTCATGGAAAATAACAATTTCTAATTACTGTTTCCATAAAATATTTAAGTCTTAGTATCTTGAAAATTACTTTGTCTATTATAATGCCATTTAGACATATTGATAGTTTGGCTTAAAGTTTTTCATATTCAATGTTATTAGGTTTAGATAAGTGAAAAAAAAGGCGACGGTAATTACCGGTTTACCGGCCTAATTAGGCTGAGAACACCGAATTGTGAGAATGGCCGCCACGAGTCCGCTACCCAGGAGTCATGGGGGCCAGGGCAACATCCCCTCAATTGTGAAGTCAGTGGATGCTCACCCAGCTCTCGCGGCGGATCTGTTGGTAGGCTCGCAACACCCTACGCGCATCCGCGTGGGCTCTCCGAATAAAGTTTCTTGGAGCGCCCACCGCACGGGCCATCATCCAAATTCGGCCTCGAAGGAAGGAAGAGCGGCAAAGGCAAACCGACACGTCTCTTTTCCCCCGCGTCCCCACCGCCATTGTATCACCACTTTAAACGGTGTAGCCACGCTGAGGTCGCGGAGGACAGGACGACCGGCATTGATGGAGTTGAACCGAAGTCCAAAGAAGCAAGTAAATTTAAATTTAAGCAAATTGTTAAGTTAACCTGAAAGTTAACTTGAATTTGCGAACTAAACAATTAGAGTCATTTCAGTGGAGGTCCTAAATGCGCCAAGTCGATTTGTTTATACTTTCAACGATTTTCGATCTGGTTGGATTCGTACTAAGCAAACTGTACCTGGTACAGTTTGCTTGGTTAATTTTTGTTTGTTTGGTTGGTTAAAGTTTTCTTGCTTAATTGCCAATGGCGTCAAGACGCCAATGGCAATTAAGCTACGAAATGAATCGACAGACATCACGATTTTTCCATGCGTTTGTTGCAGATTTTTAGTTTTGGTTTTTAATGACCTTTTTGCCAAAGCGCCATCTGTGAGAAATATATGAAAGGATTTTCTTCACTAAGGTCCTTTTACAGCTACCTTTTTTTTTTTTTTTTTTTAATTTATTTAGTACTTTTACAAAAACTTAAACATATTACAAGCAGCTGTAAGTTAACTCAATAGGTTCATATTATGCTATGTTTAATAGCGTTAAGCTTGGCTGTTGGTTGGCATACCACTTTATTTGGTAGAATAATATGAAAGACAAAAAATAAAACAATAGTTTTACTGTAACAATTTGTTTTATTCCTTGCGATACAAAAGTCCGTTGTCAAACATTTTTTGTATTTCCTCAACTGATCTGCCTCTTGTTTCTCTCATAAGAAAATACGAACTAACAGTTAATAAAATACACACGAAGGAAAATACGAAGAATAATCCATCAAGTCCTAAATGTTCCACTGCAAGTGGAAATAATGCTATGACAATGAAGTTGGCCAAACGAAATATGCTGTTTACTATTGTAGAAGCGAGGTTCTTGAGCTGAAAAGAAACAGATTAGTTACAGCTTAGATGCAATGCGATTTAGTAGCTGTAGAGCTCCATGTGGATGAGTTGGTCCAGGGAAGTGCTACCACCTTACGTATTTCTGCCGCTAAGCAGTAATGACAGCGTTACTGTGCTTCGGTTTTGGAGGAAGGGAAGGTGCTGGTGAAATTACTTGTCAACTTATGTCCAGGGTGGCGGATCTTTTCGATTTGAAGCTCTGAGTGGCACTGCAACTGTTATGGACAGGCGTGTCGCTTACCTTCAGACGCACGACTTGTTCGTCCCTTGGTATTATAAAAAAAAGCGAGACTCGTGTAACTACAAGATTGCAGTTTCGTGCTTAATTCTAGAATAAGTTTATTGTTTGCAGCTACTTGTAGAAACTTTATTTGACATATGTAAGTATAATTGTCCTGCTACGGTTTGGCAGCAATACTTGTCACTAACGGTGAAGGATAACGTCGTGATAAAACCTGCACATCGTAGGAGGTTTACAACGCTTGAAACGGGTGGAGACGCGTACCCACAATGGTCCAGCGTGGTGGACTATAGCCTGAACCCTCTCTTTAGAGCAAAATCGTGGTTTGGCGATGATGATGGTAATTGTTGCATACTCAGAACTTTAGACAGCATACTACTTACTGTTGTGTTTTATGCCACTGAAAGTTAAAATTGGCAAGTTTGAAATGGTAAATAGAAGCATGGTGTGGTATATGGCTGTGATATATATACCAGAAAAAGTTAACAACATTCTTCGAAGGCATGTGAAGTTCTCAACAAGGTTAAAGTTACGGAGCGTAAATGAGAAATAATAAGTAAGTTCATGCCATATGCCCGTAAAATAAATAAGATAAAATTCAAGCACATAAGTAACAAATTTACTTATATACCTTATGAGCAAAGCACTCAGAGATCTGTAGAAAAGGCACGGACGAAGCCCCAATTTGGAAGACACAACTATAACCCAGCACTACTGCAGGTATAGTCCATTCAGGAGCCCAACACCAACGAAGTAGTGACGCCAGAAGAGCGAGAAATATTGCAGATAGTATCGTCGATGATAGCATTAGGATCTGAAATATGTAAGACAATCGCATCAAATTCAAGCATCAATACAAAGCTGACCAGTTCAAGACTTTCGCTAATCTTTATGCCGTCTGAATTATAAAGAAACAATGTCTGAAGAGTCATACTAACAAAAAATTCAAACGTCAAGTCTTCGCCATCATTAAGAAGCAAGATTAACATCTGTAGGTTAGATGTCAAATTGCTGGATTCGGGTTTTGTTATCGTAAGCGGTACAGAGTTGAATTTTGAGTTCTATGTAACCGTCCACACAGAACGTCAGTGGCGGGGTGTGGCTCGGGAGCGGACATTGTTTTTTTTTACAACTGTGAGTGTGTTTTATTAAGTTTCAAAATGGATTAGACCGAAAAACTTACATCATTGGTACAAACATACCCCAGTTTATTTAATACAAGTGATAGAAATTACAAAAACAGTTTGAAGAAGGAAATTATTTGGGAAAAGTTATCTAAGGAGTTGGCTCCTTAAAAATAATATACCACTAGGCCCACAATTTCTACATCTCGTCATTGGGTGTAGTAAAAAAATGAAAACCAGGATATCAAATAGTAGTATGTGTCTGTTCAAAGCGAAGTATCAGGAATGTGGAACTTTCGCAGGATTCGCGCTAATGAAAGAAGAAGTTCTTCTTCATCACTATCCGACAGTGACATGGCGCTTTCTTTATCTGTGTTGAAACTTAGAGGATGAAACAAAAAAGGTTGAAAATGAAGTGAGGCGTGACACTTTTGGTGTCACTCCGTCCGCTTCCGCGCCGCTGTCATGCATTTGCTTCTCGCAAGTCCGCCCCCGGATCGCTTTTCCCGCTATACCGCGTCTGTGTGGCCTGACTTTAAATTTTAAGTGTCAAGTCATGCTCTAGACCCTGTAGGTACTTACCCGTCTCCCAACCAAATCGCAAATCGCCAAAGACAAAACACTGCTCATAAAGAAGGTCGTGGATAATATTACAGCGCAAAGTTCTTTAGAAAGGTTTGGCGCTGCAATTTCAAACAACTGACTGGCGTAAATTGTCATTACGATTGTTCCACATAGCACATGAAGTAAAATGTGAAGTGATACAATGAAAAGTGCTCGTTGCGCAGACTTTGATGAACCTGAAGGTATACATAAGATGAAAAGAAAAAAAGAAACTTTGCTATGAGCTATGCCGCCCTAAACATTTGTAAGTGATCTAGAACAACGTGCTGTGACGTCGTTTAATTTCTTTTATTTTCAAAATAATCATCAATCAGGATAGAATGCAATACATTACGGGATAAGTAAGTACTACACATACATGCCAATGATGGCTGGCATACACGCGCAACATCGGCGAGCGGCTTATAGAGTCTATAAATCTACGTCAACGTTTATTGACATCTTTTTTTTTTTTTTTTTTTTTTTCTCATCAGATTTCTCATTTCACATCAGTCTCATTATATATTAATTTAATAGTCTGTAGCAGAAATGTCTAAGGTCGATTGTATGAATGTTAATTGAAAGCCCAATCATATACGGTGACCAATTATAATGTTGAAAATAGTGTCCTCACGTTGGCACGAGGATCTTCACATACATAAGCCTCATGCAAGCCCACGAACGTCGCCAACGTCGGAATTGAAGTAGACGCGGTTGGTGGTGGGTATAATTGTAATAATATGCAGTTGCCAATTTTCTTCAATCTATAAACAAGAACATTCACAGAAGAAGAACTACATGTTTAGTAGCAGTAGAGTTCCTTCTGAAAGAGTTCGTTCAGGGAAGTACTGCCACCGAACCTATTTCTGCCGCCAAGCAGTAATGACAGCATTACTGTGTTCCGGTTTTGAAGGGTAAGGGTGCTAGTGAAATTACAGGCAAATGGGACTTGTTAACTTATGTCTCAGGGTGACGGACGCAGTAGGTGATATGACAGATGTAGCTTGCCATCGGGCGCACGACTTGTTCGTCCTGTCCACGGACCAAATAAATACTGGTAACTTCCGTGGTCCCGTCGCTTGATGTTGAGTATATAAAAAAAACAAAAGACTATCTAAAGAGATAGTATTTTGTTTTACTGTTGAATTTTGTCAAAGAGCATTGACTTACAAATAAATGGACGACGGGTCTAATACAAAAACCATGAAAAAATGTCCCAAGTCCATTGACTTACAAATAAATGAACGACGGGCCTAATATAAAAACCACGAAAAAAATGTCCCAAGTCAACCTATTTAAACGTAGTGACATGTAAAGGAATATGAAAAAGCTAAAACGTTAGATTTAAATTGTAATGTCATCGTCGTACTGTCTAATTTTGCTTGCTTCGCTGTCAGTCGAACAAACGAAGACTAAAGCGTGAATGACGCTCTGTATGCAATTTTAACGCCCTATAAGTTCGGACACTTTTTAGCGCGGACCCGACGTCCATATAATTGTAAGTCATTGTCAAAGAGTGTCAGTATCGTAGTACTGTGGACAGATGTAACAGTCTATATCTATTGGGAATGGGGTGTTTATCAATTATATTTATCCACAGTTGGGGAATTAACGTAATGCCCCTGGCAAAGTCGCTATTATTTGCAGAATACATTTCGTTTTGCTTTGACCCAGGGGCCTTCCGCCTACTATTTATAATTATTATATTACTAAAAAATAAACAAATTAACTTAGAATAATAACGCATAGAAGGATAGTTTCATATCAAACGAACTGTCACAAGTGAGGCAAAAACCAAATTCGTGTAGGCGTAAGCAACTTGTAACTACGCTCGTCGGCACGCACACAAATATACAAATAATGATGCCATGGAATAACATTTCCCTCAAAAGTGGGGAAATTGTATCTTGCTTAACTCATCATTAAGTTAAAGGTGCCTACAGATTTGCCCGACAATGTCGATCAGGTGCCTACAGATATGCTCGGTTTTGTCGATGAAAAACGAATATAGCACTTATTTGTAAATCCAAGATGGCGGACACGATTTTTCAAAATATGCTATATGGGTATCCTTTTCGAGGTATTTGGGGATGCTCATTACGAATATGGCACTCATTTCTAAATCCAAGATGGCGGACACGAGTTT